CTGATTAGAACAGGCTCTGATGGGTGTTGCTTTCTGTTTCTTGTAAGATGATCTTGCTAGGCCTTTCCTCATATATGTTTCCTTGGAGACTCCTCATGCCGGTATCTTTTAAATGAATCTCCTTCTAGAGGGTAATAAGACTGGTAAACAGCTTTTTGGGAGCTTAGTAGGGAAAGTGGACTTTGATTATAAATGTTTATGCTGTAGACTTTTATTTGATTCTGCTGTTTTTAATACTGTCCACTACCTTCAGCCATGTCTGAATCTCCCAGTCCAGAGATGCGCTGTTTGTTCTTTTCCAGTAATAAAACTCTACTATTCTGTTGAGGAAGAGGAGGGGTGCTTTTCCAGCAGTGTGAAGTGAGAGAGGGATTCTGGGATGGAGTGGCGAGGGATTCAAGTTTCTCTCTTCAATTGCCTTTCAACAAATCTTCCTATTCTCAGCACCCTCCTCTCCTTCATAATCACTTCTAGAGTTACTTGGTGCCTCTATCTTCTGATACTTTCTGAGATTTTTTGGGTAAACTGGTTTTCCTCTCAATTTGGTCTATTGTAGGCTTGGCAGTTAGCACTCTGAAGCCTCCCAAGTCAGTCCCTATCCCTTCTTCTGCTTTCCTGATTTCTAAATACTGTTACTATCATTTACTTCTCTGGTCAATGTTGGTTTGTAGGTATTGATTTATTTTTTGTTTTTTAATCCTTTGAGGTTTTGGAAAGAGTAGAGATAAATGCAGGCTTTTAATTGATCATCTTAACTAGAAGCTGGTTTCATGTTGGATTTTTTTTTTCAGAGTGTGACTCCATAAAATAAAGAGGTGTGAATCTTTTAAGATAGCTTTTCATATACCATGTCATGTAAGCACTAAGCTCTTAGTAAATATTGTTAAAATTGTAGTCACGTTAAAATTCAAGCTTTATCATTGACTTCCAAAAGTCCTTTAGCAGTTGGAATTTTACATTAAATAACAATGTTTTTTCCTCATTTAAAGGGTTAGGTATAGCAGACATGGAAGCTGGGATTTCAGAGACTTTCTGTTTTGCTTTTGTTTTTTTGACCCCAACTCATTTTGGTTCATAAAATCTTGGAAACTGTCATTTTGGTTTGCTTAAAAGTGAGAAAATGCACTTTAAAATGGAAAAGTGCTGGTATTTTATAGAAATATTATAATAATTCCTTGGATCTGTAGCTACAGAATGTTTCATAATTAATACTGCATCATTTAAAAGCCTCAGACTTAAAAGAGTAATTAAAGTAGATAATTAGCTAAAGAAAAAAATGAGTAATTAGATAAATAAACAATAATATATACTTTTAGAAATTATAGTAGTTCTAAAAATATTGAGTCTAGTTAGGGTTAGAGCAGAGAATAAGGTAAAATATGCATATAATTCTTTAGGATTATGTGAACAAGGCAGATGAATCTGGAACAGCATGTTGATGATATCTTTTTCTTAGATATCGTTCAGAATGACTGAGAAGTATGTTTGTGATGATTTAACTACCATGATTAATAAAAACTATACACTTGACTTAGTTCGAGTTTTACTCCAGTTATGTGCTGTTTCAAGACGGCAATTTGTAGCCTCTGCCACCTTAAATTAAAATCTTTGGTTAGCATGCTTATTCAATTTTTAAATTTTATTTTTAAGCTAAAAGATGTAATCTTTTTTTTAAAAAAACCCTGCTAACATTTGGGAATGAAATTAAACAGGAATGCCTCTGTGTCAGTACTTTGTAAATAGAGATTTAATTGTTTGTATATATACTGTTGTTAAAAAAGAATTTTTAGGATACACAATCTTGTGACAACAAAAACTGACACCAGGTGGTGAGGCTGTATTTATGAAAGCAGTTGAAACTTTACACCACCTATCCTAGCAGAGCTCAAGGGAAGAGTTTACAGAAATCCGTTCAATAACACTGCACGAGCCTTATACATTATTCTAAAAAAGCTTCTTAAAGAAATGTTTCCCTTCAGAACCCTACAAACAAAAGAGGATAAAACCTAGGCTAATATGTTCCATGTCTGCTTTACATTTTTTCCTGAAGGAATTCTGAAGCACTTTGCAAAATTGAACTCACATATAAAATGGGTAGAGGTCAAATGTTATCGCTGCCTAGAGGGATGTCCAGGATGCCTTGCCATCAAATGGACTAGAATCTGTTTTGTGTAGTGGTTAAGGGCATAGACTTTGGGACCAGCCCGCCTGGATTTAACTCCCAGATATGCTCTTTACTAGTTGCATAATTTGGGCATATTATTTAACCTACCAGTGCCTCTGTGTCTTCATCTGTGAAATGGGAATAATAATATTTGTTGTCTCATGTGGTTGTTTTGAGGATTAAATGAATTAATCTTTGTATATGGCTTGCAACAGTGCCTAGAACAAAGCACTAGCTAAGTGTTTGCTGTTTTCATTGCCAAGATTATTCTGCCAAATAAGTTCTTTGTTGACTGAGGCTTTAAAGTCTTTTCTCTGTGTAATAATTCATCATTAGTGCAGATCTAATTTGTGTCATGTGATAGTAGGAACACAGGCTAGTGTGACATTGTATTTTATACCTTGTCTTTTTTTTTTTTTTTAAACATTTACTAAACAAATTAAGCTGTTCAAGTTTAAAGGAAAGGCATAACTTAGGTTGGAGAAAACTTGTAAAGTCCTTTAGCAACCTCTAATTGTGTGTAGTAGATTAATTTTACATAATTACAGTGGAATTAGTTCAGGTGGCTGCGATGAGTCCAAGAGGCTGGAAAAACATGTTAAAGTAGGTTCTAAACCTTTTTTCACTCTATGCTTTGGCAAGTTTTGAAACTTTGAATTTAATTCTGAGTTTTCAGAAGTCTACCTGCTTTCTGCCAACCTTTCTTTTGAAAGATGCTGATTGAGTGCTGTTCATTTGAGGTTTACTTGTGTGTCATCTTGCTCTGTTGTTAAAGGGACTGTGCTTAATCATGTCACTCATTCACCCAGCAAATTCTTTTTTTAGTGCCATATTTGTCTCTGTGTTAGTTGCTGATCATATGGTAGACAATGAAACATTCTTGGACTTTGTCCCTGTAAAGCATAAGGGCAGGTGTGGGAGACGGTATTAAGCAAGTAAACAAATGTATGTAATTGGAGATTGTGTTAAGAGCTATGAGGAAAAGGAGAGGGTGCTTTGAGAGAGTAACTTTGTGATCTGCTTTGGACTGGCTCCTCAGGGAAGGAATGTCTGTGTGGGTGGTTTGGGTGGAACTCTGAAAGATAAGGAGTAGTTAGCAAAGGGAATTGAGGAATAATGGAAGGTCCTAAGGCCTCTATCTCCCCATAGATGTTGATTATTTTTATTCTAAAATGGAAGAGTCTGTGTCCCACTGAGCTCTGTCTTACCACCATTTACAATGTAAAGTGAGGGGGGCCCAAAACAAAGTCTTGAATTACATAATTACTGTTGAGGTTGTGTGGGAAGATGTGTTTTTACCTGCCTTTAAGTATGACAGAGATAAACATGAAATGAGTGCGAAGTGATAAATCTGTCCACTGTGTAATTATTGGGTGTTTGCTTTATATTCTTTACCTTTTAACTTTGAATGCTGGGAATTTGAAGAACTCTGGACCAGTGAAAGAAGTAAAAACCAGATGTCTATAACACTGTTGGATGTTGCAATGTTAAAAAGCACGTTATAGACCAAGAGAAGTTAAAGAGAAGCAGAAAGATGAGGGAATAAGATGGAAAGAGGGCTGAGTAGTAGTTGTGGTTATATGATTTTAAGGTCTTTACATGTTCTTATTACTTCATAATTAATTCAGTGCTTATATGGGAAAATGTCTGCACGGTGAACTTCGAACTTTTTCTCCATTTGATCAGATTTGCTCTAATTGTATCTTAAGCAGAATAAATTGGCTAACGATCCATGAGGGAGACTCACCATATTTCACTTGAGTAATAAATGTGTTGTACTCAGGAAACAGACCGAAAGACGCGTTCCCCACACTTGCTGAAGTTCTTTTTCTGTCTTTAAATCTTCTGAAAACCACAGAAAGTTATGCCAATTTCTTATCTTAAACATGTTAGAAAATTGCAAAAGGAAAAGATAGACATATTTGCTATTTACCTATTTGTTTAGAAATGACTTTTTTTCCCAGCAGGAAGTTAGTTTCCATATATTATCTGTGGTAAGGGCTAAAAGTATCTAGATTCTATCCATCCAAACTGAGAGCCATGTAGAGAAAAGGATATTCAAAGCCTTTAGGATTGTCTGACTTTCAGGGAAGGGGCCTGAAACCAAACCAGACCAAACCAAAAACCAAACCCAAGTAGAAATGGTTCTTCGCTTTTCCCTTACATAGAAGAAGTTTTTTTTTTTTCTTTTAAGCTTAAATAGAAAACATGTGATGACATTATTTTGTTTTGTTTCTCAAGTCTGTAACCATTTTAAACTGCATTTGCCTTTCATATGATTCTTTTTTGAAAAATGTTAATGTTTCAGTGAATTTTGGATGATTGCAAATGATTCCCTATATTTAGACAGGGCTTTTACAGCTTATTTGATCAAAATTAAATAATTTATGTAAATCCAATTGACAAAGCTTTGTTATTTTAGCCAAATATTATTCAGACTCCAAAGCAAAAATTACGGTAAAATAAGATAAATGTAATAAACTTAATGAGGGATGAAAGTTTATGTTATCTTCATTAAAGGGTTATCTCCATTAAGGGACATGGGTGCAATGATAGTGTTTCTGACCACACTTTGTTTTACACTCAAGCTTACAAATGTGGATGACAACACTGTTAACAGTCATTTTTTAAAAATATTTAGGTCAACTGATTAGAAAGTGTCATTGTACGTATTTTTTCCTTTGTACCATTGCCAAAACTGCACATTATCATAGCCTATTTTCTAGACTGTTTAACAGCAAATGGGAATGTACTCAACACAGTCATATTGCAAATGTATTTAAAATCCAAGTTCATGGTACTTAAATGTGAAATAACAATTTCATATATTTTACAGAAAACGCATGTTTCAGAAGAGATGGGTGAAGTTTGATGGCCTTAGCATTTCTTATTACAATAATGAGAAGGTAAGAACATTTTGCACTTTTCAAAGATTGCTTTATGCACACTAAGTGTACTTCAGTAAACTAAGTAAGCGATTTTGTTTTTGAGCATAGAAGTTGGATTATCAACATGAAAAGAATTTGCATGGGATAAAATACTCTTTTCATAATTTGACTTTTCCTTGACACATAAAATTGGGATTTTTGGTGAGGAAGATTGTCCCTGAGCTAACATCTGTGCCAGTCTTCCTCTATTTTGTATGTAGGACACCACCCCAGCATGGCTTGGTGAGAGGTGTAGGTCCATGCCAGGGATCCGAGCCCGAAAACCCCGGGCTGCCAAAGCACAGTGTGCGAACTTAACCACTGTGCCATGGGGCCAGCCCCAAAGCTGAGATTTTTTAAATTCAGATATCTAATAATTTATGGAGTATCTTCTACAAACTACAGGAATTGCTGTGAGTGATACACAGTTGAATAAGAAATTGCCTTTATCCTAGAGAGCACTAAGGAATGTTTACAAAATGAAACTATAAGTAGGAAGTGGCAAAGCAAGGAAAAGTTAGTTTGTACTCCAGAAGGGGTTGTGAAAGAAACAAGGAAGGCTTCTTGCCTGAGATTTTATTTGCCATAGTCTTGAAAAAGAGGAATGATTGTGTATAAAGAACCTACCGAGAACAGGACCTGATAGCAGAAAGAACAATGAGATGCTCAGATAGGAACTCACTTGTACCATGTATGGTAGAATTGAGTAGTTTTCTCTGATTGGAAAATAGAGTATATGAAGGAGACTTGTGGGGGATGAAGCTGGGAAGGTTGTCTGCAGTTAGAGCTCATTGAAAATCTTGATGTGAAAGTGTTTACAAAATATTCTTTAGGTAATTAAGTCTTAATGACACGATACTGTTTTGATCATGTCTTTCTCATTAGTTATGAGAATGTCTTTATTCTTGGGAGATGTAGGCTGAAATATTTAGAAGTGAAGTGTCATTATATCTGCAAATGTTTTTCAACTGTTACCTCTCTGTCTCTCTATATATACACTAGGACCTCCTTATCCTCGGAGGATATGTTCCAAGAGCCCCAGTGAATGCCTGAAACTACAGATAGTACCAAACTCTATGTATACTATGGTTTTTCCTACACATACATGCCAATGATAGTTTAATTTATAAATTAGGGACAGTAAGAGCTTAACAACAGTAACTTCTCTTTGGTATATGTGAATTGCCAGCATCATTACTCTTGTGATTTGGGGCCATTATTAAGTAGAATAAGGGTTGCTTGAACACAAACACTGCAATGCCATGACAGTCAATCTGGTAACAGATATGGCTACTAAGTGACTAACAGGTGGGTAGTGTATACGGTCTGAATCCACTGGACAAAGGGATGATTCACGTCCTGGGTGGGAAGGTGCGAGATTTCATCACGATACTCAGAATGGTACACAATTTAAAACTTGTGAATTGTTTATTTCTCAAATTTTCTATTTAATATTTTCAGACTGTGGTTGATGGGGGCAACTGAAACTGAGGAAAGCGAAACCTCAGATAAGGGGAGACGACTGTATTTATATTTGCGAATATATATATTTGCACACATGCATAGTTAGATAAAATAAGAACTGACGATGTTAACAGTTGCAAAATCTCGGTGGAGGACATGTGGGTCTTCATGGTACTAATCTTTCAACTTCTCTGTATTTGAAAATTTCCTTAATAAAAAGCTGAAATTAATAAATATACCATACTTTTAGTTAATTAAAATCAGATAATCTTATAGTCTTAACTATAGACATTCTCTTAACATACTCATTTAATACTTAACCACATTCTCTTATTTTATAGCTTATAATTTAACATTATTTTCTCGTTATTTAGAGATTTCCACTGCCTGTTATTGGTGATATTTGTGGCTCGAATAGAGGTTTAGACTCTCTCTCATATATTGATTCTTCAGTCCTACAGGGCAGAAGAGAATATGTTTTTAGACAGAAAGTAAGACACACTGCAACATAACACACACTGCATGCTATAATACCAAGAATAATAGAAGGTTTAGAGGAGCATTGTTTGGTTTCACTTTGCGGTGATCCAGACAAAGCATCAAATAGATTTAAACACATCTCTTTGAGGTTTGCAAGCTAGTGGATGAATTTTTTTTTTTTATTGATGTTTTCATAGTTTATAACATTGTGAAATTTTGGGTTGTACGTTTTTGTTTGTCCATCACCATATATATGTCTCCCTTTACCCCTTGTGCCCAGCCCCCACCCCCATTGCCCCTGGTAACCACAGTACAGTTTTCTCTGTCCATGTGTTGGTTTATATTCCACATATGAGTGAGATCATACAGTGTTTGTCTTTCTCTTTCTGGCTTGGGATGAATATTTTTTAAAAGCTGGTTTTCTGCCTTAGTTACTGTTTTGAGTTTGCCTGTGCATTTGGATGTTGAGACAATTTCTATGCCTAGAATGGGTACAATGTAGTCTCTGTATGTGATGGACTCTGACCCCTAGTTTTCTTCAGCACCTGTGCCCTTCTCTGGTTGGATTGAAATGTCTTATTCAGGAATAAGACAGGCTTTCATGTCCTGAGGCTCTGTTGGTGGTGGTATCATTATTAATTATTATTAAATGGGGATCATTTGGGAGAGAGAATTTCTAGTATGTGTGTCCGGTTGGACTCACTCTGTTTGTCCTTTAAAAGCTCATCTCAACTGCAGTGCAATATCTCCATTTTTAGATGTTGATGCAATAAAAATGATCCAGCCTTGGTTTGAAATTGAGATAAATTCATATTGAAATGAATTATTACAAGTCATTTAGTTTAACATCAATTTTTTAAAAAAATTCAAGTGATTATTTTCTGTGGCATTTCATCCCCTTACTATCCAGATGATTGGTTTCATCTGGGCAAAAAACAAAACCACTAGGATGGGTGTTTCCTGAAAAAAAAAAAAGGCAGTTTCTGTTGTGACCCTTCTGGCAAAAGAGATGAGTTGGTAGACTGGGAAGATGGGACTTCACGGCCAGTGAACAGAAGGCATTGGTGTGGCCACAGCTACCCTGTCAGCTGGGTGTGCAGTTTTAGTGGTCACGCGCACCGAGGAGTGGGGTCTTGCAGTGTTCAAATGTGCACTGAGGAGCATGTGGTGGTGCTTTCCAGAGGAAATGTGCAGAGTTGTCTGTTTCCCTCGTTTTCTTCCACTTTCCTCGATACTACTCAATCATGTCTCTGCAAGGACTCTTTCATTGTATTACTGAAAATGGCGTCATCCCAATAGCCTTGATGTCTTATCACCTCCAAGAAGTCTAACTCACCCCCATTCTCACTCAGCTGTGGGCAGAATTGCCCTGTGGTCATTTCATTCTCTGAAAGTGCTAGATAAATGACAAACTTGACCTAGATGTCTGTGTTACAGGATCAAGGGATCCTTTCAAATTTCTTTCCTTAAGGAAGATTTTACACTGAAAAATGCAGTCATTTTGAGTCTATTGCCACTGAGTAGGGTTTTTTTTCTGTATTGTTTTTATCTGTATTGTTAGAAGAGAAATGTTAAGTCAACTCTACAGTATTAAAAATAACGAGATTTATCTTGGGATGTTATAATAGATTATAAATTAGTCATTAGAGAAACTACAACTTCCTGAGGTGAAAGTGACATAGTATTTAGCTTGTTAAGTACATTTTGATCACTTCTGGGGAATTTATTTGTTTTTATTACTCTTCCATAAGTACTTATCTGTTAAATATAATATCATTATTACAGGCGTGTAGGTGAGTTGTTATTTTTTTAAGGAATTGTTTTCTAATCTCTTAAAGAGGTCTAGAGGAGGGAGAGTCTCCTTTTTTTATTCCTGTTTCTTTTCCTGCAATGCTGCTGGATTTTTCTCCTTTGAAAAATGGGTTAATGGTAATCTTTTATTCAGCAAAAAGTTAATTATCTCACTAGAGGTGTATTTTTATAAGCTCCTCTAATTCTTAGGCAACCTAAAATTTGCAGATGGGTCACCTAGGGGATAAAGTGTAAATGTTTTTGGACATTCTGATTTTTCGCTGGCGTCAGCCACTACAGACTCACGGCCAGGGAGGCCCTTACACTGTCCTGAAGGTGCTCTGCCCCTTCCCGTGTCTTAGGTTGCCTGACAATGGGGAGACATTCTCCCCCTCCTCTCAATTCCTAGGACGCTTAGTGGTCTGGTATTGCTAGTATTGCCGTTGTAACCCACCTGCATTTCTTGAGTTTCCTCTGGTAAGCCAATCATGTCATGTATTTCTTTGCAATGACCTTTTTCAGTAGCCTCTGGGTGTACACTGCAGGAGACGCGAGCGTGTCTTTTTCTGTGTTTTCACTTCCATGTTTTTGCTCTTCATTCCATACGAATCTCTCTAGCCATTGCCATCCATTAAAATTCTGTGCAGACTTCAAGACCCATCTTGTTCTCTGCCTCCATAAATCTTTTCTTTATTTTCTCCAAATATGACATGTGAATAGTAATGTGCAGGAAAGGGAAAACAAGCTGAAAGTAGGGAGGCAAATCCGGAGACTGTGCAGCAAATCAGGCATTAATTTATCAGGGTGTAGGCTATATAGGCCAGTGGAAATGTTAAAAAAATGAATTTAGAAGAAATACTAAAAATGAGAGAAGAGGTTGGTCAGAAGCCTTTCTTCAGGAGCATGTCTTCATGCTAAAATATGGCAGATGCAGAGGCAGTAACTATGTGAAATGGGTATGGAAAACTATTCCCTGCAGAACAAACAGTATGCAGAGGCACTGGGTTGAGCAGAACCATATGTTCAGGGAACCTTAAGAAGGCTCATGTGACTAGAAAGAATCAGGGAGTGGCCAGGAGCAAGTTGACACTGTAACTGTGGGGAGAGTCCCAAGTTATGTGGGTGCAGAAGATCAACCCAAGTGAAAGACTATTCTATTTAAGACTGATTGACTAGAAGAGTGATGTTTTAATGGGCAGATGTAGAGGGAGAGGGTATGTTTTCAGGAGATAATTCAGGTTTAAAGTTTGAGGTGCTTATGGTGCAGTTATGTGCACTATGGATGACTCGAAATATGGGAGTAGAGTTGACTGAAATGGAGAAGGAAGGAAGGGACAGATTTCAGAATTCTCCACATAAAGTTGGCAGTTGAAATAGTAAGAAGGGATTTTTCTTTCTTAGCAAGAGAAGATAAAACAAAAAAATGAAAAATAAGAAAAAGTTATTTTATAATTACTTATTTCTTGATATCCCTCTCCGTTTTCTGTGAGATTGCCCACTCGTCTTCTTAAATCACAGTTCAAATATTGTATTCAATTTTGACTCCATGGGAGGACGTAGGAAAGCCTTCATGGCCTTGGTGTTTAAGATGGCACTAAAGAATGGATAGGATTTTGATGGGCACATAAAGTCAGGGTTGGGAGATTGGAGCAGAGGCAGTAGAGGAGAAGAAACTGTCAGATAACTAAGAGGGAATTCCATGATGGTATAGTATATCTCCTCAACTAGCAGAACATAAACCTCCCAGTAGAATGCCATGGTGCTGACAACGACCATCTCTTACCTATCTGCTATGTATGGCAGGAGTTTACCGCTGGGAGGGATATGAACTTGGCACTTGTTCTCTGCATGGAATGGTTTAGTACATTCTCCTCTTCAACAGTTGTTTCAGATACTTGGGACCTGCTCAAATTGAGGGTCATTGTGGATAATGCTGTGGAAGGGAAGAGCAGAAGAAATCCCGTAAGGATGTGTCCAAACTTTTTTTCTTTTTTGGTGAGGAAGATTACCCTTGAGCTAACATCTGTGCTGGTCTTCCTCTATTTTGTATGTGGTTGCCGCCACAGCATGGCTGACGAGTGGTGTAGGGCCGCACCCAGGATCCAGACCTGCGAACCCGGGCTGCCAAAGTGGAGCATGCTGAACTTAACCCACTATGCTACGGGGCCAGCCCCAAACTCTTTTGATATTCAAGACCTTCCATAATGTGACCTTGATGTATGTTTTCAGCCTCATCTCCTTTGACTCTACGTTGTGGCTCCTCTAGAGTTTTCTCTACTTTATACCTCCATTATTCAATCTTTCTGGCTGGGATGGCCCCCTCCATACCCACTTATCTATTTGGTTAAACTTAAAGTTTCTTAAAGTCAGGCTCAAATGTCACCATGTCTATGAAAACACCTCTGACCTCTTTAAAGCAGAATTGAGAATTCCCATCTTTGTACTCTTATATCTCATGGTTTGTACCCAGTTTTAAACTTTTCTCTCATTACATTAGCTGGTTTTTCATTCTGAGGCTGCTTGAATGTATAAATACTCTTTGAATTTTCTTTCCAACCCAGGACCCAGTAAATATTACCCCCTTACTAAATAGTTGAAATTGTGGGGTGGTCATTATGCCAGTGGTTTAGGAGAGTCCAGGAAGATGAAGACTGAGAAAGTTATCAAGAGTCTTAAGAATGACCTTGAGCAAAACTGTAATATATATATGCCAATTGCAAACAGCCAAATCTGTCTTTTTTTACTCTTTAGTCTTTGAGGAATAAAAAATCAAGTGCTGTGCTTGTGAGGTTAAGATCTTCATCATCAGAGCATTGAGTAAGATGGTTCATTGATATAATCCAACAGTCTCGTTTCTTAGGTCTATTCTTGTTGTTGACAATATGTAACAGCACTAGTTTTGAAATGGTTCAGTTACAGTACCTGTTATGGCCAGCAGATGCCTGCAAACACCGTAAAATCGTTTTGACCAGCTTGTGTTAAAGCACATGCTGCTGTCTTTGGGACTATATATTGCTGGTCTAGTACAATTGCTTGCATTTGATTTTTCTGCCTTTTAATTCCAGATGAAGAGAAAATTGAAAAGACATCTCACTTGAAAGGGGCATTTAATATTTTCCTTCTGGGATATTAAGTGTGTATGAGGATATATACTATTTGTGTGTCATTTAAAAAATTTAGATTGAAATTGTGAAAGAGAAGCACTTGTGAATATTGTCCCATTTTTTGATAAGATCAAGAGAATTTCATTTTAATCCTTTTTATGTATCTTTTTCTCTAACCAATACAGGAGAAGTATTCAAAAGGAATAATTCCCCTTTCTGCTATATCTACGGTACGAGTACAAGGAGACAATAAATTTGAAGTTGTTACAACACAAAGAATTTTTGTTTTTAGAGTTGAAAAAGAAGGTAAGATGATTTCTTCATCCCTATAAATAAAACTTACAGACATTAATTTCTGACCAATCAGAAGATTAATAAACCAGTTAAGCTAGAAATGTCAAGAAGTCTTTAAATATATTACTTTTAAATAGTTTACATTTTATTTATTTATTTTTTTTGTGAGGAAGATCAGCCCTGAGCTAACATCCGTGCTAATCCTCCTCTTTTTGCTGAGGAAGACCGGCTCTGAGCTAACATCTATTGCCAATCCTCCTCCTTTTTTTCCCCAAAGCCCCAGTAGATAGTTGTATGTCATAGTTGCACATCCTTCTAGTTGCTGTATGTGGGATGCAGCCTCAGCATGGCGGGAGAAGCGGTGCGTCGGTGCGCGCCTGGGATCCGAACCCGGGCCGCCAGTAGCGGAGCGCGCGCACTTAACCGCTAAGCCACGGGGCCGGCCCCTAAATAGTTTACATTTTATATTAATTTTTTGAAAGCTGAAAATAAGTTGACAAATCATTTGTCCACTATTTTTGCATGTGACAGATACTTAGAATCTACTAAATGCGAAGGACTTCTAATTCTGGGGGTATGGTAGTGAAAAAAAGTAGATAAAGATCTCTGCTTTTATGGGGCTCACCTTTTAGCCATTGTTTTGATAATGCAAAAATAGTTATTTAATATGCAAGAATAATTTTTATAACTATTAAAATGTTGGTTTTATGGAAGTTTATGTATGGCAGGTTTTAACTGTGGATGTAGTCTAAATCTTTAAATCTTTTCTGACTTTTTTGTAGGGTTGGGGGAGGGAATGCCAGGGGGGTTAGGGGGGTTAAAAGCTCCCTGTTTCGTACTTTGACTGATAGGTGAGGCCGTCTTCATTAATCAAAGAATTAGAATTTTAACCTATTTTAAAGCCTACTTTATTTTAGTATAGATTATAACTCAACTTGATTTTCTAAAAGTGTTTCTTGGTGCTTAATTATTTGAATAATGGTGATATGGAAAACTTAGTGAATGCTTGATATGTGTCAGACGACCTACTAAATGCTTCATTTTCACAATAGTCTTATGAAGTATGTAGGTATTACAATTATTATCCCATTTTACACATAGGAATATTCACCTTTTATAAACTATAACAATATTAGCTATTATGGGACGTTATTTGTCTTTTTTAAACTGCTAGATTCCTAGAACATAGGCTAGTGCATGGCACATAGAAAGCATTCAATAAATGTTATGTATTTGTAGAAAACTTCCATTATTGCGTGGGATAATCAGTAAATGAATAAGTCCCAGCTGCTGTTCGTACTGGGGCAACTTTTTTCAAACTGAGAATCACTATCCATTTGTGAGATCAACTTAGTTGTTTCTGAGGGTACCAAAAAAAATTGCTCAAAAACAAACAAAAATAAAATAGAATAAGAAATATCAAAGTGCATCTCTTCTGGTAAGTGTACATATTGTATTGTGAAACATGCCTGTGTATATATTGCATGTGTGTAATGTAAAAAGTGTTTCTTGCTTGCTATTAAAAAAAATGTTGAGGGGGGCCGGCCCCGTGGCTTAGCGGTTAAGTGAGTGCACTCCGCTACTGGCAGCCCGGGTTTGGATCCCAGATGCGCACTGATGCACCGCTTCTCTGGCCCTGCTGAGGCCACGTCCCACATACAGCAGCTAGAAGGATGTGCAGCTATGACATACAACTATCTACTGGGGCTTTGGGGAATGAAATGGGTAAATAAAAAAAAAAAAAATGTCGAGAGCTATAGCCTAGAGCAGGAGTTGGCAAACCATGGTCTGTTGCCTAAATCTGACCCACTGCTTGTTTTTGTGAATAATGACTTGTTAGAGCACAGCCACTCTCATTCATTTACATATTGCCTTATGGCTGCTTTTGTGCCTCAGTGGCAGCATTGAGTAGTTGCAGCAAACTGCAGGAAAGCCTACAGGAAAACCTAACATATTTACTGTGTGGCCCTTTACCGAAAAAGTTTGGCAACCCCTGCCCTAGAGCATTTTATATAGAACTACCTATGTGAGACGCCACTTTTTGTGATTCATTGCCTGAAATTCAGAAAGTTGTGCACAGCTGTGATACTCGATATGGGATTTATATTTGGAATCACAGTTTTTCTCTTTGGATATTTCTTAAAACACGTGCCATTGCTCCTTTCTGCTGGCTATCATGATGATCTTTCCTTCTGCTTTGGTTTCCATTGCTCCGAAGGTGACTCTTGCTTCTTGTTTCTTTATCACCTTCCCTTTGGCTTCTCAAAGTGGATTTCACATATGCCACATAGCCCACATTTTAAGATAGACATACTAAATAAAGCTTCCAACTTGTGTGAAAATCTGTTTAGCCGTATTTACTTCCTGCAGTTAGAAGTTAAAGAGATATATTTTATTTGAGTAGAATGTATCAACCCACATATGTTTAAAAGTTACGTGTTTACAATCGACCAATAAATCCTTCTGTGATAAATAGTTCATCTTTGTGATGTAAACTTAGTATAAGAAATTCATTAACTTTGGTATAAATTATTAAAGTCTTAGGTCTTTAATTTTTGAAAGTATGAAAATACTGCTTTAGTAAAAACAGACTGTCTACATGAAATTACTAAGTTATTTTCATTGAAAGGCATTTTTACATAGTAACAACTCGCATTTTTAAAGGTAAGTGTATGTAGAGATGTGTATGTTATGTATGTGTATATGTATATATATGTAAATGGTATACGTGTATCTATATATTTAGTATGGAGCCTTCAACAAGATACAAAATATATTTTATTAAATGTTGTGTCATCCTTCCATGTATACAAATCATCGATTATGTTTTATTTTTGTGGGAACTGAGAAATCAACTATAGTGGCTTATGAAATATTTGACTTAATGAACTTGAAGCCAAGTTAAACTTTGTTTCAGTCTAATCAAGAAGTGAGATCAAAGTTTAGAACAGAAAGGGGAAGTGGTTTGACGTCCTAGCAGAGATGCATTCTTCATTTTTTGGTGAAAAGGTTTGGAATGACCTATGTACAGTGGCTACCCTTTATCTCCCGTGAAACCAGGGTCCCTATTTCTAACGTGCTGCATTGCTCACTGGCATTGCCAAGGTAGGGTTACAATTAGGCATCTTTTCCCCACAAATTTTCAAAGGCTTTAATTCCCCCAGGTTTCCTTGTGATATATTGTTATGCTCTTAGTTGAAAGTGAATTAGATTGAAGTAATAACACTTAAAAAATACTCTTCCTCAAACAGGAAATTTAGTCTGATTCCTTTTGTCCTCAAGCAGAACCACTGGAATGAGTCAGAGGGTCATACAGCTAATGATCTCTCCAGTCAGTCTGTATTCGCCTGGCACCTCTGGTCACACATGCAGATGTGTCACTTCGAAAAGCAGGTGATGTTGCAAGTGGACAGTTCTCATAGTTAGAAGAAGGCTTAGGAATTCTAAGTGGGCATTCCCATTCCAGGGCCATTTTCAGTACTGGCTCTCATCGGCAGGTCGCGTGTTCCTGTCCGCCTTAGCCGGTTCTAGACCCCTGGGAGACATGCAGGTGTGTCATTCTCAACTCTGTTTCTAGACAACATCATACAGCCCTCTGTAGGGCAGCTATGATACTGTAAAACTTTTTGTTTTGTTTTGTTTAAAGAACACGTGAGATAAAAAACATAAATTCCCCTAGTTGTTTTGGGTAAGCAGACTTACCAGTTTTGGAATCTGCAGTGTTTTTATTTTTATTTTTTTTTATTTTATTTTATTTTTTTTTTAAAGATTTTATTTATTTTATTTTTTCCCCCCAAAGCCCCAGCAGATAGTTGCATGTCATAGCTGCACATCCTTCTAGTTGCTGTATGTGGGACTCGGCCTCAGGATGGACGGAGAAGTGGTGCCTCGATGCGCACCCGGGATCCGAACCCGGGCCACCAGCATTGCAGCGCGCGTACTTAACCACCAAGCCACGGGGCCGGCCCACATTTTTTTTTTTTTTTTTTTTTTTTTGTGAGGCGATCAGCCCTGAGCTAACATGCGCCAATCCTCCTCAGTTTTGGAATCTTCAGTGTTTTTAGAAGCAAGGCATGGAATGTTTGCTCTGTGGAGGGAGAGCCAGGGGAATTGAAAGTTCTCTGTTGTATACTTTGATCGACTATCCTAATGTAATAGGCCACACACTGTGGAGTCATTCTTGAATCTTTTCCTCTCTCCTGTTTCACATCCAGTCCATCAGCAAATCTTATCAATTTGACTTTGGAAATATGTCTGGATTCTGACTAATTCTCAATACCTCTACTGCTACCACTCTAATACAAGCTACCACTTCCATCTGGATTCTTGTAATAACCTCCCTTGATTGACCACGGTCGTATTTTCCATACAGCTGCCAGAGCACTCATTCAACCAGGAAGTCAGGTCATGTCAGTCCACTTCAGATGCTGTGTTGTCTTTCCAACTCACTGAGAGTAAAGTATGTATGATGTCCGAGAGCCCCTTCATGATCTGGCCCTGGTCTGTCTGTCCTTGTCGCCTTCTGTGCTCCTCACTCACTCAGGGGCCTCTTGTTCCTTGAACATGCCAAACCTGCTGCTGCCTTGGGGCCTTGACACTGCTGCTTTCTTTATCCTGGAATGGTCTTCCTCCAGCCATCCTCCTGACTTGCTCCATCACGTCCACTTCTTTAGGCTTTTGCTTAACCATCGCCTGCCTTCCTAGGCTTTTTCTATTACCCTATATAAAGTAGAACTTCTTATGCCCCTCATCTCGTGCTTTATTTTGTCCCATTGCACTTGTCGCTGTGTGATGTATTACATATCTACATTTTATTGCCTCCTCCTTTGAGAAGAGTGTAAACTCTAGGAGAGTAAGGCCGTGGTCTGTCTTGTTCCCTGCTCCATTCCTGGTATTCACAGTAGGTCTTGCAACACAGTAGGCACTCAGTAAATACTTGTGTGAATGAATGGTTACCAATTTCAAGAACAACCCTAGTGTGTCATAATTTCTTCTCTAATATTGATCATTGGTTACGTTGAGAGATTTTTAGTTAGATTATATTATCGTATCAAAGCTAAGGGTCTGTCTAAACTTTGTTAGACTCTGTTATTAATGCTTTACATGGCCCTTGCATAGTAATCCCTAGTATAATTAATCCTTTGTTATTCATCAGTATGCCTACTGCTAAATCCAGTAGTCCAGAGAATATTGTCTCTCCCGTTGATTTTTTAACCTGCTTTTTTGATTCTTACACTGTAAGTTGGCATTCCTGAAAGCCTGAAAAACTAATTTGAGGTTTGAGGGAATTGCTGTTGCCTTTTATTTACATTCTAGCATAATCCCAAGAAAGTGGCAATTTTATTTCCCCTACTCGTTTTTTGTCCTTTTCCAGCCTGGAGTGTTCTACTTTGAGCAAAGCCATTTCTAGGTCAAAGCACGTTCTCAGAAGGAATGATGCTTAGCACAGTGCTAAAATCAAGACAGAAACTCAATAAATATTTGTTATTGGAAAGAATAAAAGTACCTTGGTGTGAAGAGTGGACGAAAGCTAGCATAGTGCCTAGCTTTGTCCAAGGGGAAATCATGATTTGTTTTTGAATATTGTGACTTATCAAAGCATATTCCCCATGTCCAAGGATGCACATATTGCATAGCCAAGTACCAATGACACTTGTAATCTCTTTTATTGTGTTTGAATTATCTGTATCACTGTTTATCTCCATTGGCCTGGGTAATTGAGAATAAACTGAATGTTACTATTAATTCCTGTTCTTCTTCATGACTGTTTACTTCCTATTAGTAAATGAGGCCCTCAGGAGCTAGATAATTCTTCTAGGCTGTAAGGGAACCATTTGTTGAGATGCCGCCATAATATGCTTAAGTTAATGTAATTGCCAGTTTCAAATTATTTCCTGAGAAACTGAAATATATGCTAATAGTAATCTGGAAAACCACAATCACTTTGGCCACTTCATTAAATTATGATCTATATTTCAAACTCGGTGATTTATATGGATTAATGTAAACAAAAAACATCTACCATTTACTTGGCAGGAATATCTTGTGTGAAACTAATGATCACAAGTCATAGCCAACTTAGGTGGACAGTCTGTTGCTGTTACCGAAAATGTAATGAATTATCATAGTGCAGTCTGGATCTGTTTATGTAGATGTAAAATGTAGAGCAGCTCCTGTATGTTGACATTGACTTAGTTACCTGAATATTTGCATGTCTTTTAGTTTACAGTGATGCTGGGGAGGTTCAATAAATATTTCATCCTGATATACAGGAACAAGCACTGTTACCTGGGCATTATGTGACACCTGCAATAAAGTGTTTTTGAATGAGTTTCTAATAAATATTTTGGTCTTGGTCATTAAAGACACAAGAAACTGATTTTAGTAGTTTTGAAGGTGAGTGAGAATGAAGATGATTTAAAAATTAAGACTCATATTGTGAGGTAACATTGGATTCATGTTTGAGTGCGAGCAAGTCTAAAATGGAGACATTTCAATCCGCAATGAAGTTATTCTGGCCAAACCTGTCTTAGAAGGATCTGAGAGACTATTTAATTTCTCAAGCTTGCTTCCTACTTACTCTTTCCTTCTTGAAAATTTTTCCTACCTGGAATTCAGTCTGTTTGGTTTTTTTCCCTTTTGCCTTGATAACCACTTCTCCAGTTGTTTTTTGCTAGCCCATTTTCCAGCCTCATAGATACAGTTGTACCTCAAGGTTTGTCCGTTTCTTCTCTTTTTCCATTAAACCTTTATCTACTTCTGTGAGTCTTCTCTTGTAGAGAATACCTTCATTCACATGTTGCTCTCAGTCTGCCTAGATGCTCATGCCAGGGCACTGAAAACCTGAGGTGGTTCTGTTAATAAAATGGAACCTTCTACCTTCTTTGTCTGGTAAATTCATGATGCCAAGCTACTTTTCATTCTGAGTAATTTAATTTTTTTGTGAACACCTGCAAACATATTTAAAACCTCAGCTATTTTTTAGTCCCTTTAATGTCTTGATTATTCGTATGTTCTTTTGTTTCCATTTTCATTGTAATTTAAGTCTTTCTTGCTTATTCCTGGTCTCCAAACTTCCAGTTTGGTCTATGTATCATCATCCTAATCATGTCCCTTCCTTGCTAAGAATCCTGAAATGATTTTCCTTTGCCTCCATAATAAAGACAAAATTCCTTACATAAGCACTCCAGAATCTCTAGCCATTTCCCCATTATTTCCTTGTGAGTTCAAAATTATGGATATGCTCCTCTGTCAGTAAGTCCCTGAACAGATGTTGGTTCTTTCTGCTTTTGTTCGTAAGTTTTCCTCTGCTTAGAGCTGTAAAGTTCTGCTCTTCCCTCACCTACACCCCAGTTTTGTCTTTTGAATTGCTCCTCATTCTCAAGACCTAGCACAAATAGTGCTTTTTTCATAGTGCCAAGAACAAGTGTCTGAGAGTTAAAACATTTGATTCTCCTAATTTTAATACTAACTTGCTGTATGACCTTCAGAAAATCACTTACCTCCATTGAATTGACTCATATATTTTTTGATACCATTTGTATGACATTTATAGTATTCTGTGTTCCATTATGCGTTCATCTCTAACTTGACTTATAGCTTTGATTGCTCTTTGGGGACTAGATCGAATTCCTATGCCTGTAACACAGTGTGTTGTACATAGTTGAAGGTCACTTAACTTTTGCCGAAGGAGAGAACTAAGTTTTAATTTACCAGATGAGATGCTATTGTTAGCGACTGGTGAGAATGGAATGGGTGAGTGAATATCTAGGCAAGCATACTCTTAAGCAGAGTAAGTTCCAAGTGACTATTAGAAAGTACGATTTTTGGGGCATTTGAGTAACTGAATTGCCAGGTACAATCTGTTAACTGTTTGGTAACAATATTACTTTCTAACATTAAAAGAGAAAATCCAATCTTATGAATAATCTAAAACCATTAACATGGATTCGAATCACCTGGGGATCTTCTTAAGAATGAAGATTCTGATTCATCAGGTCTGGAGTGAAAACTGAGATTTTGCATTTCTGATAAGTTCCCAGGTGAAGCCAATGGTAATAGTTACGGGACAACTGAGTAGTAAGTGCTATTTCTTTTCCCTTACAGAATGGAATCTTTGGCCCTGCCTGCAATAGCACTTAGATTCTGGTTGCGGGAAAGAATCTGTGAATTATGTGTTGGCAGAGAGAGTAGATCCTTTGTTCATGTTTCTATGTCTGTATAACTCATATAAATATGGATGTATGTATTTTCTCCTGTCTTTGTTTTCAGAAGAGAGAAATGACTGGATCAGCATACTGTTAAATGCACTGAAATCGCAACCCCTTTCCTCGCAGCCTCAAGCAGTTGTTCCACCTGAGAAATGTGGCTATCTTGAATTGAGAGGGTATAAATCTAAAATTTTTACTGTGTTAAGTGGAAACAGCGTGTGGCTTTGCAAAAACGAACAGGTGAGCTATGTTGTAGTAATTGCAAATTGTGGTTCCCTGATTACATTAACAACTGTGTTTTGTTCGTTAAACTTATTAGTGTTTTTACGTATAGAGTCTTGCTTTTGCCTTGAGTACTAAATGCAACAGAGTTGTTTTGTTGAATTTTCTCAGTTGCACCAGCAGCAGGAAAGTAATCTACATCAAATTTGAGACTGGACATTGCCTTTTTAAGGGACTGAGGAAGTAGAATCATTGATAATTTTTGAAAAGTATTCCTTAGCTGAAGTAACGTTATAAAACTACGTGAGAGAATAATTAAGAACCAGTTAACCATTACAGCTGTTGATGAAATAGGCCCAGTTCTGCACCTGTTGTGTTTCTTCTGTTTTTGTGATAGAAAATTATAGAGTAGGCACAGGTAACATATTTTCTTGAGTTTACCGGGGTGTTCAGGTCTGTTTTTTATCTTTTTGAACAGGTATGTTGCTTGCAGAGGAAATAATTTACTAGAGGCAAGTGATTGATATACATACATGCATACACATGTGCACATACATACATATACATATCACATATATAAATTAGAGATACTGTGATATTGAATTTGGTTAATATCAGAGGACTCAATAGAGAATTTAAATGTTTTGAGGAGACTGATGTTAAAATAAAGTTTTAACAAATTCTGTTAACTTCATTTGATTCTGTAGACTTCCTTTCTCTAACATATCTGGTTTTTAATATGTATAAGAAAATTATTTCCTTACCTCTTTTTGGGAATTAATTATTAATTTTTCGGCCTAGAATATCTTGGATGCTTAGTAATTATTTGTGGAATTAAGCGATGTGCTTTGGATAGCTGATCTAAGATGAACTCATTTTATGATATATTATAATTGGTTATGATAAGGTGAAATATAAATGCTGATTATTTTCATAAAAAAAGAGGTATCAACTCAAAACAAACAGTGGTTTCAAAAAAATTAACTACAGATCTTTATCCAAAGCATCCTCTGAACTTCACTGTGAACTTATTCATTACGTTTTTTTTGGATAAGATTTCTTGGCCAATTAACTGTGGAAGGCATCATTGAGCACTGTTGGCATGTTAATAACTTGGATAGTTAGCATATTCCTCAAGAAGAATAGTGATGTACAGCTTAATGATGTGTAGGAACTGAATGTGAACATTTTTAGTCTGAAGTAAGATGATTAAAACTTTTCTTATTGGAATGGAGGTTAAAAATGCATAATTTCCCTGTATCAGTATGGAAGTTACTCTGCCAAATTAATTGAGGTATTCATTTTTTGCTTGCATAGACCCGATGGACTTCAAATTATTAGTTTCATTGCTTACATTAGCTAGATTGTTCGAGTTTGTTGTTCTGTAGAAGTAAGGTAGATGTTTTTAACATTTTATTAACTCTTTCTGATTAGCAAAAAATTATATGCAATTGTTTTAATATTAATAATTGAGGATAAAAAGAATAATGATGACTACCATTTGTTGAGTGTCAGATACTGTGCTAATTAATTTATAAATATTCCCTTTTAATCTTCCCCACAAATGTAGGAGGAAGATATTCTCATCCATATTTTATAGATGAGGGAAACGACGATTGAGTAACTTGTTTAAGGATTGATCTGCAGTTCATCATGCAGAGTTTAATTTAAAAGCAGAACTTTATAACTCTAAGCCTAGCTTCTTAGCCACTATACCAAACTGTCTTTTTTAAAGTGTGTGTTGAAAGGAAAATTTCTGACTAGCGATCTTTTAGAAATAGCCTAAGGATTCTTTCCTTGAATAACTTAGTTGCCTAGGAGGTTCAGAGTGTGCATTCAACAAACATTGTATACCATGTCAGGCACTCTAAAAATGATGTGCTTACTGAAGAGGACACAAGGCTTATCTTTCAGGAGGAAAAGTAAGACAAAACCAGCATTTATGATAGATAGTGAGCTCACTGCTTTTTTAGACTTCTGCGGGAGTTACAGAGATGTGCAAAAAAGGGCATCTAATGAAGTCTGGGAATTAGAAACACTTCCAGGTACACAAGTAATGAATACATTCTCCTTAAAAATTGAAGCGTTAATGCTGCACCCCTCCACATCTTTGGAGAAGTAAATCTATTTTTGATGTATGTATATTTCAAGTCCTTTTCAATGCATTAACATGCATACACACACACACACACACACACACACACAGACATCCTTAAAAAGTGCTTACTATTGTTTGTGTATATGTTCTTTTAAAAAAAGTTGCATCATATTATATGGAGCTAGGTCTTAAAGGACTTGGTCTTGAGTCAAGTCTTAAAGAATTAGTTGGCTCAAGACTGAATGGATAAATTAAGGAAGGCTTTCCACATTTGGACCCAGGCATACCATTTGTTTCATCTATTTTTACATCCTGGTGTATGCCTTTCTCTCCAGAGCAAAGTTGCCCATTGGTTTTCTCGCAGGGCTGAGCAGATTGTGTGAAGAACTGGGGTGACGTGCTGTATAAGAAGTCTTTCTCATGAATCCATAGGGCTTTAAGCTAGTATTTTAGGAAAAGCATTAAAAAAAATAAAATAGTTTGATATAACTTCTGAGAGTTTTATACACACAACACACAAAGTAATCTTGTGAGTTTTTTTTTTAAACATAATGGAAAAAATCTGCTCATTATTAAGAATGTAAGAGGTGTTAGATTTAACCTCTGTGTTTTCATTTGTGTTGGATATAATTCAGTTCCATACATCAAAGCTTAATTATTATTATTTTTTAAAATAGCAGATTTATTGCCTACATAACTTAGAGTATGAATGGAATAAAAAAATAAATAAAATTGACCTGCACCACCCTAACATATGAACTATTTTCATTTTTCTTGCCTTTGTTTATATATAGTTTTACTGCTTTACTTTGGAGATTACTCCAGAGAGAGTAAACAGGCAGTGGATAGAGGTGGAAGGGTAGCTATTACAGCATATGCTGAAGAGTTACTAAAAAGGAAGCTCAGAAGCTCATTAAGCAACAGAAGCATTGGACTGGGCAGTAGCAATTGTAGGTTTTCGTTTTTGCTCTGCTATTAATTGGCTCAGGTAATTAAGTTAATCTCTTTAGGCTTAAATGGCATCATATGAAGAAGAGAGATGGATTACTATCTCTAAGGCCATTATTTAATTCCACACATGTGGGCTCATTCCAGACCCATTGACTTAGAATTTCTGGGGATGGGGTGTTGGAACCTGCATTTGGATAAAGCATCATCCTGGGTGATTCAGTGACAGGTGATCCAAAAACCCCACACAGTAAAATATTGCTCTAAGAGTGTTTTCTTCTTTAAAAATGATAAGCATCCAGGTGAAGTAAGCAAGATATTTCTGAGTTGGAAAATGTGCAAAAATAGCCATCAATAACATTAATGAGATCAGTACTTCTTTAGTTCTCCCCGCAAGTTGGGGTTGCTATGCCTCTTTTTTTTGATTAACTTTCATTTGGAAGTGTATCTTTTTCCTGACTGAACATTTTGAAATGTACAAACATTTAAGTGGCAAGTTTAGAAAATCATTAATATTGTCAATAAATTTTTAAAATTTGAGAAATTGTTACTAATGTGTATAGTTTTAAACTATAACTATTGGTATGTTTTCACTAAAATCTCAATTTTTATATCAAATTTTAATTTTTCACATTATAAATCCTGCCCTAAATATTTAATTCTTTTTTCTTAACACAGACTTTTATTACCAGAGTATGCTCTATTGGAGAAATTAAAAATCCATTTGCAAAGTCAGCGTAAAGTGTTTGAAAAACAATTTGAAACTATTATTTCCCATCAGTTCCTTTAACTCTGTGTGTATGTCTGTCTGGAAATTTACTCTAATTTTGTAGATTATTGTTTATCTTTTCTAGAGCTTTTTCTCTGTTTCCAGTAGGTGTTCTGAAGATTCCATGTCAAGCATCCCTACAAATACATTTTCAGTAGTTCCTTCACCTTTTCTGGATCTGCCCTTCTACTGAATCAAGGAATTTCCAAGCTAAAATAGCCATTAGAACAGACTGTTACAACTATTGCCTTTACTCATTTTTGACATTCCTTCTTTTTAAGAGAAGCGGCATAATGATAGCAAGGGGGATGCCAGTCTGCACATTCTCAGACAGTTCACTGACAGGTCTAAACTCTATAGAATTAACAGAGACTTTTCGTTTTCCCAACTGCTCCGTTCAAAGATTCACTTTTTTCATCTTTCTTTCTCTTTCATTCATTAGCAGTGTGTAGGAACTCAAACTTAAAGTAGCTCTTGGCTAAGTAGGAGAAATGCCTTAGGAAATGGTAGGTTTGTTTTGTTTTTTTTCTAGCTAGGCTGTAAGAAGTGGAAATAATTACAAAGAGATAGTAAAAACATTTGTTAGAGAGGAAGATGGCAAAGTAAAAATAGACGCTAAAATTCGTTACCTAATTACGCAGTTGCAAAACACTATGGTGCTATTATCACATAAATTAAATGTCATCCCTTTACATATTTAGCACCATGTCACAACCTCTCCAGGTGTTTAATTTTTGCACATTTTCTTCTGTTCCTTGTCTCTGCTTATGTCTTATATGCCTGCAATATATTGTAATTATGAGTTTTTCCACATTGTTACTTCAACTTTGTATAAAATGAGTTGTGTAATTGAGTTTGTATAGGTCAGACTACAGTTCACCGTGTTTCTGTATTTATTCATCCGTTTTACAAATGCTCATTGGGCACTTTTTCATTTCTGGTGCTGCTCTAGGCACTAGGAATATAGTGGTAACCCAAAAGATGTCTGTTACCCTGTGATGGGGCTAACACATAGTGATGAATAAATAAATGAGATTTCTGATAGCCTTCTGTATGTAGCTTTTTCCTCCTTTTTGATTAGTTTATTTGGCAAGAATTCCTATGACCCTTTTCTAAAGAATTGTTTACAGTTAAAATGTTGTTAGCTACATGAATAGGTACCAGTTTCATTTTAATCTCAAAAGTGTTATATTCTAATTTTTA